TCTGTCCAAGTTGCTCTAGAATAATAACATACACAGAGAATGTTGATTCAATTTTGTGTTGAAATGGTAAGATCCCAATTCCCATGTGGGAATGGACAAGTTCACGTGCATAGGTGGTTTTGAGGGTGATCCCCCAGTAAGAGAATGTAGGGTCATGGCCAGGGATTTTAGGGATTTTGTAGAACAGATACTTAGAAAGTTAGAATAAGAATAAGAATAAGAAGATGGGATTTTCAATTAGGTATGCTGAAATTGAATAAATTTATTTTTTTCTCTAATAATTTAAGTTTTTATACCAAGCCGCACCATTTTTGGGCAAAAAATGCATTTTAAATAGTGTTTTATTATTTAAATATGAGGGTATATTCGTCATTTGACAACTTTTTATTGAAAAATTGGATGAGAATGGATAGAAATGAGGGTTTGGGCAATTAAATGTGTAATTAAGAGTGAAAATATCAAAAAATAAATAAAAGGTCGGAACGTTTTTTGCAATAATAGGAAAATGTAGGGACATTATATGCTAATTACCCTTTTAATAATTTATTTGTGACTTATTTGGGTTTTTTTAAAAAAAAATTAGGACTGTGATTGTAATTAATTTTTTTCTTTTTCTTTTATTTTATTTAAAAAGAATGGTATATTCGTAATTTTATAATTTTTAATTGAGAAAATATGTGAAAATCACATTTTGACCAATGAAAGGTAAAAATAAGGGTGAAAATGTCAAAAAATGAAATGTATGAATGTTTTCCATAATAACAATGAAAGGTGGGGACGATATGTGCTAATTACCATTTGAAAGAATATGTACCAAACATGAGCTAAAATAAGTTTTGAAAAAATGATTTTTTTTCGGAAAAAAAAAAAAAAAGGAACCAAACATAGGCCAAGTGATTGAACAAGAAGATTCATGTGCGAGTTCAAAACTCAAACCTACAATTATTGAAAGTACAGATAAACTGTCGTGCTAAAGAGACCAGGTAGAAGTATGTGATAATAAATGTCAAACTTAGTCCTTATTTGATCTCCATTATTTTCAAAATATATTTTTCTCTCTTCTTTTCAACTACACATTCTTGAATAAAATAATATTACAAGTAAATTCGAAAATTTTCCTTATTTTTTAACCAAACATTCCATTGGGAAATAA